AACTGGCCAGGCTTACATGAGTTTAGTTTAAACACAGATAGCAACATGTGCTCTTCTGGTCTCACCTGCGCTATCAACACGTGATGATGGCATAGATGACAGTTATTCCAACATACAGCACTCGCATTGAACAAAGAGTGACTGGTTTGTCCACGTATTGTTTTTTTTCTCTCATCGCTCTTGTTGTAATGTATTGGGAAGCCAGAATTTGTATCCATCAACAGAAACATGCATTAGCCGAACTCTAACAAACCATATTACAGATGCATTGTCAGATTTAAGTTGAACCGCGGTCCTAGTGTGTGGGGAATGGTACGGTTTGATTTTTTACCGAGAACCGTTGCACCCATAATACATATATATATATATATATATATATGTATATATATATATTTGTGCATTTGCGCATCTATGTATAAAACCCTTGTGCATCTATGCATGTAAGTATATATCTAACCCTTCTGCTGTGTGTGTCCCAGTGGAATGGCGTAATGTGAGTTTGCGTGTGCTGTCAGAGATCACGCTGCTGCTGCTGAGCCAAGACGAGGTGGAGGAGAGAGAGAGAGACGGAGGGAGAGAACGAGAGGCAGAGTGGGAAGGTGAAGACATCTCCTCCAACACTCGCTTGCTGACGCTCATCTCTGAGGCCCTGCTGCCACAGTAAGACTCACCACTCAATTACCTATATTCTGCTCTCTCAGTTTACTCCTCCATCCTCTCTATTTATTCAAACTAAGATTGTGTCCTAACCAGGCATGATGTGATGCGAAGCTTCCAGCAACAAGCAATTTGTCTGTGCACACTGAATGCACACAATAGCTGTCAAGGGTCAAGAGATATTTCATGCTTAATGTACAGCGTGGTTTTGGACCAGTGATATTTATTGAGTGTGACACAAATAGAAACCAAGTCATTGACAAAATGTCTTGTCACTCATTGCATGTTACGGTTGCAAGTGGTTAGGATAAAAACTCGGATGAAGAACTAGAAAGTGAAGGATTCTGTAGCTTGTTGATGCATGTTCATGGAAAATCTTCATGTAGCAGGGACATTTTTAATTATGATATACCAGTAAAAGTGAAATGATTACAGTTTTATAAAGTCATTTAAATTTCTAGAGTGAACAAATTTTGCTAGCTTTCTAATTTCATCCAATTTGATTAAATTGCAACAATTCATAGCTAATTCCAAATTCAAATGGCACAGGCATGTGTTAGAATGCCATTTTAGGGTAGAAAACAACCATAATTTACTTACTTTTCTAAAGTGGATTCTATTCTGGATAATGCTAATAATAATTTGGTTCGAATGAAAACTGATTCTGAATAATGATGCAGAAATCCAAAATCAGCATTAATCAGTTTTTACTCATTTCACTTTTAAAGATTAAAATTTAAGATTTTAAAGATTTAAAGATTAACCAATCATAATTGAGATAATATTCAAATATAAGTCTTAAAGGTGTAGTGTTCCTATAGCTCATGGTTTCAGATAGTCCTTCCAGGGTTTAATTAATGCAAATTCAACTAATCCCTGCATTATTTGTGGCATTTTTGTCTTATTTCTGCAATTTTTTCCAGAAAAAAAGAGAGGCAAGTGATCTTTCCAAATCATCCATTCATTATAAAAACAAATATCTTTGTCTTTTCAACCTGTTTGCCAATTCAGATAAGATAGATGCGGCTATGTGAGCGATTCTTTCTCGTTTGACGAAATTAAAATTATAGGCTAAAGAGTATTTACTTTCGTAAGAGTATTTAAATAACTGTATTACTGAATTTTACTGGCTAGGCAATTAATATTTCCAGTGAACAACTAAAATATACTGTAGTTGTTAAATTGTCAAAACATTAATTAAATAAAAATATTTAACATTTATAATATACAATGACCGTTTATTTTTGTTATGCGAGTTTTCACTGCACAGCAACAACAAAAAATGACACAAATATCAACGCCATTTTTTATGAAAAGCCACATTGAGTTCCTAAGGGGACTGATTCAGTTCCTAGAGAATGCATCCACAACGTATAAAAGTTACAATGGTTGATAACCTCTTTAATGACTGTTGTCATGAATTTACTTGTATCCTACTGTAGACGTTTTGTATAGCTTTTGTTTAATTGCGGATTTTCTCGGATTTTCTCTGCAGGTATGAGACTCTGCTTCTGGAGCCAGATCCTGTACCGGTGTATGCTCTCAAACTGCTGGTGTCGCTCACTGAGCACAGCTCACCCATCAGCAGGTAACCAATAACACTCTCCACGTACACAGCTATTCCTACATACTGTGGTGGATTTTTGCCCTTTTTTTGTTATTATTAAGTGAAACACACTTCCTTAATTCAACAGGTTGCACAGGTACACCAAATCCCCTTCCTTTTTGTGTAACCCTCAAGATGAGCCCCTCACATATCTCATTCTGTAAATGGGTGATGCGCTATAGAATGATAGCCACCATGCTGTTGCTCATATAGTACACTTTTTCTCTCTCTCGCTCTCTCTTTCCAGTGGGCAGTGGTACGATCTGGTTTACTTTGAATCCCATACTCTAACCACAAGACAACAGCTTGTCCTTTAATTAATAATACTAACTAATAATGTATTCTTACAGAACAGTATACTAAGAATTTTTGCAGGAAAAATGGACAAATTAACTTCTAATATTACCAGCGATACAAGGCAGAAGACTGTCTTGAGGCATTTCTTTCTTATGTGTTTCTGAACTCAACCTTATTAGTTTATTGATCCTGAAATTGTTAAAGTAGGTCATGCCGAGCAGTAATGAACTTCAGAGATGACGCACATAGTTTCTAACTACATCCACAGACTGTTTTATGCTACTCTCTCTCTCTCTCTCTCTCTCTCTAATATATATAAATATAAATAAGGTAAATAAATCTATGAGATAATTTGTTAATATGATTTGAAGGCTCTAAATCTGTCTCTCTTGTGGGTCTTAGCTTTGTTTGGAATAGTAGCTTACATATATAATGGCTGATACATACACAATCGTCCTCTGATTTTCTCAAAAATTTCGTCTCTTTTGTCTTTCATTTCCTGCCCTGTTCTTACCACTTCTCTCTGTGGGCTGTAATGAGTGTCTGGGTGCACAGGTGAGGGAGTGTGTGTGTGTGTTTCTTATCTCATCCTCATCCCCCCGCTGTTTCTCTAATGGCTCCTGCTGGCCTCCTGCACGTTGTCTTTCTTGGTGCTGATAGAGCTGCAGCCACATGGTTGAACTATTCAAATTGATGTCACCAATCGGAAAACGTTCGTCAGTCGCCGAGCCAACCCCCCCAAACCCCCACTGCCTGCAAAGAGCTATTTCCACTCACAATAGTGAAATTAAATTGCGTTTGCCAGCGCTTGATAAAGTCCTAAAAAACGCAGACCTTCTCTTGATGGGTTCCAGGCGAAATGAGATTGCAAATGAGGGACATTAGCAGGTTCCGTGCGAGCATTGGCGTTCTTTTATTATCGGTTGTGTTGTGATAGTAGTTCAAACTTTCCAATTATCGAGAACCTTTGGCCACTCTTGGCTTTGTGCAGACGAAAGCAAATGTATGTGCTGTTAAGAGAGTGGTGCTGAACGGCTTCTCTAAAGTGTTAATTTTATCAGTATTAAGAATTTATGTCTAGAGTACTTTCAGGCAGGTGATAATGAACAAGTTTCTTACCAGTATGTTTAGTTAAAACTCTTAATGGGCTCTGTCTCAGCTGAAGGAGGAAATGTGTCTCACTGATGGTCTGATTGACTAAAATTAAATTGACTATTTAGTCCTTGCAATGAGTGAGGGAGCATGGGATTGGCTGCGACAGATTGATCAGACCATCGAAACTAAACTGAATTAGCTTTCGCTATTCTTTATTTTATCGACAGTGAAGAACTGACAGGAAACAATAGGGAAAAGTGGGAGGAAGGGATTTAGGGAATGACTCAAGCCAGACTATGTTCATTACTCAGATTGGAGCCTGTGCATTACTTGCCAGGCCTCACCTCCGACCTGTTCAAAATGTTTAATGTGAATGGATTGATGTGCAGGCATTCCACAGTCACTGAAACCTGGAAATAAAAGAACATGTTCAAATTGTGCATTCCAGGGCTGGAAAAATCATGGAAATAAATGAGATCTTAAAAAGTCATAAAAATGTATACAGTGAATGTAAATTTTTTTCTACAAAAAGTGCTAGTTTACCCAAAAATTACAATTGTCATCATTTACACACCCTTATATCTTTCCAAACCTGTATGCATTTCTTTCTTCTGTGAAACAGAACATATTTTGAAGAATGTTGGAAGCAAACAGTTTTTGTTCCCTTAGACTTCCATTGTATTTTTATTTTTTTTCCCATAAAATGGAAGTCACTGGGAACCAAAACTGTTTTGTTGCCAACATTCTTCAAAATATATTTTTTGTCATCACTTCTTTTGATGAAATTTCACAGGAAGAATCCTGTAATTTCAAAAGGAATCCACGCGATCAGGAATTGCACACGAGGATGAAACATTTCCCCATGCAGATTTTGCATCGAATTAAGTGTTTCACACATTGATTAACAGCATGCTGCTTGGTTTGCCAGCACTTTATAAAGTCTTTTTTTTTTTTTTTTTCAGAATTGAGATATAAACTCGCAAGTGGGAGTTATGAAGTCAGAATAGCGGGAGTTATAAAGTCAGAATTACGAGATATAAACTCACAATTCTTAGAAATAAAGTCAGAATTGCGAGATAAAAACTTACAATTCTGACTTTTTTCTCGCAAATGCGAGTTTATATCTTGCAATTCTGACATTTTTTTCTCCGAATTGTGAGATATAAATTCACAAATGCGAGTTTTAAAGTCTGATTCTTAGGGGGGGAAAGACTGACATGTTCTCAGAATTGCTAGTTTATATCTTACGATTCTGACTTCACTCGCAATTGTGTGTTATAAAGTCAGAATTCTGACTTTATTTCTCAGAGTTGCGACTTTATTTTTCAGAATTGCGAGTTTATATCATGCAATACTGACTTTATAACTCGCAACTGCAAGTTTATATCACGTGATTCTGAGAAAAAAGTCTGAAAAAAAGAGCTGCGAGTTTATATCTCAATTCTGAGAAGAAGAAGAAAAAAAGCCAGAATTGCAAGATGTAAAGTTGCATTTACCTTTTTTTTTAAATTTTATTTAGTGGCAGAAACAGGCTTCCATAGTTCCTGGTAACATGACATTGCAAATAAAGGACATCAGCAGGAGTGTCTTTAATTATGAATATCATTTGCGATAGTAGTTCAAAGTTTTCAAATTATTTACCCAAGACTGGAAAAAATGTGAAAAAAATTTGTCGTAAAAAATTGCTATAGTGAATATATTTTTTTTTCTACATATTGTCCTATCACGTTTACTGTTTCTAAGCAAATTTCACAGGCAAAATCCAGTAGTTTCAGTAGGGATCCACGTGATCTAAAATTTTGTGTAAGGGCCAAACAGATTTTGTGTCTGTTTTTCACGCAAATTCGGCCCGTTGACCAACAGAATGCTTGATTTGAAAGTGAAATTAATTTGCATTTGCCAGCACTTGAAGTCCTAAAAAATGTGAATCTTCATTTTACAATAATGTTTATATTACAGTGTAATTACATTGGTACAGAAGTATTCTGATGTACTTACTATCTAATAATTTTGTGAAGTCACAATAACATGCGACAGATTCTACAAGGTTGCTTTTGCAAAGTTAATATTGATTAAATACAGGTCAAATGGTTGCAGTCTTTTGTTTTTATTATCATTATTATTTTTTTTGTCCTAGCATTATGTCCCGTGCTAGTGTAGATGAGGTGGTGTCTTTCTGCACTAGTGGAGGTGTCTTTGCTGCTGCTTCTGCTGTGAAGGGTGACACCCTCTGCTAGCGGGATATTGGACAGGACGTGCGGTGTGTGGGAGCTGTCCGTGTCCATGGTGCTCAGGCATGTGGAAGTGTCACGATTTGTTTGCATGTGTGACTGGCTATTATTCTTTCAGCACTGTTTATGTGGGCAGCTCAGGACTGAAAGCATGTGTGGGCATAGCAGTTGCTCGGGCTACAAACACTGGCCCCTGACAACATAGTATATCCACTGAACGGACGAGACAGAGATGGACAGATGGATGGTTGCTGTGTCTGGAATCTATGTAATGGATCTATTTGTTAGCACACCAGAACAACAGAAATCTCAAGAGGTGGACCAGGGAGAAATTGCACCCTACAACGGCTCTGATAGTGTCTCGGCCCCAGAGTGCCGATGGCACCAGTAAATGTCATGGCTGTTGCGTGTCATTCTGAAAAAGTGAGGGGGGAATGAGGACTGCATAGCAGCAGTTTTCCTTACTGACTGATTGGAGATCAGATGCAAAGGTTGCCTGCAAGAGTAAAGATTATGTGCATACGTTCTCTTATTAGATGCTTTAGTGTCTTTGGCTGACATTTACCTGTGTAAATGCCAATCTCGCCACTTCCCGTTTCGGTGAAAATGCTGCTTATATAGAACTGTTAAAATCACTCTTAGTTGTCAACGAAAAGTTGAGGCGTTCATTGTTTTGTGAGTTAAGACCCACATGCCTCATTTTTTTGAGACAAGACGTAGGATTGAGATTTGAGATGCCTGTAATGGCTGGACCAAACCTTATCTCTGCTGATAGGATGTTGATTTTTGTGACAAATTTGTCAACATCGCCAATTACATCAGCTTCATTTTTAGTATGGATTATATCTGTCCTGAGTTGACAGACCAGGCTGGCTGGTTAACTCTCTGCAGACCAGATTACTGTAAGGACGAAACATCCCCATGTCACATTTCACCCCCAAATCTAAAGAAAAATAAGATTTATTTTGCAGAAACAATTTAAGTTTATTTTTAGAACCATCAACTTTTTTTTTTTTTTGCGATGTGATGTTATCATGGCAATTAGGCACATTTTCACGCAAGCTGGCATAATGTGTAATGCACCCAGACAGGTTTTTTTTTTTTACCTGAGTTTATATATATATATATATATATATATGGACATTTAGATTTTGGGGTGAAAAATGATTCCGGCATGTTCTTGACAGATTGCATGACAGTCACTCATAGCCTGACACACAGTCCATTACTATGTGGACCACGACCACTTTATCCAAGTGGTGGAAAACTGTGCCTCTGGACACCTGCTACTTTGCCTGAGGACTGTGTAAGTGGGCCAATAACCTGGTTGGTCTGAAAGCTGTGTAAGTGAAAATCTCT